TTTCATGCCCTGCTTGCCCAGAGGTTTTGGGGTCTAAACGCCCTGGAGGGCACCTCGGCAGCCCTGCCTGCTCCGACTGGTGCTCCTGGACCACCCCGAGCTGCTGCTTGCTGTGGGTTGGGTGGCAGTGGGTGGCAGTGGGTGCAGTGGGTGCACTGGGCTTGGGTGGGTGCAATGGACGGGTGGGCGCAGAGCCCCCAGCAACTGAAAGTTAGCCATGGCTTTGCTGTGGTCTGGGTGTTTTTCTGCAGCTTTCTCCAGGGGTTGAGTATTTCAGGGGTGGTGGAGGGACCTGTCTGAAGGCTTGACCTCCTCCTCCAAGGTCCCTGGCAGCTCCTGCTCCCAGGCCAGGACTCCCTGGGACTCACCCCTCTGGCTGGACCACCAGCCTCATTGGAAAAACCACCGCTCTGGAGATGGAAGGGGTCTGGGTGGCAAAACCTTGCTACCTGCACGCGACCTTCTGCAAATGCCATTCACTGAATCATTTAAGACAGAATCAGATCAATTAAGGTTTGCTAATGAGAATCTGGATGGCTGGGGAGGTGGAGCGGGAGGGAAGGAGCCATGTGGGCTCCGGCAGCAGGTAGAGAGTCGGAGCCAGGGTGGGATTTGTGCTGCTGGCTGAGCCCTTGGCCCCCTCCCACTCCTGGTTTAAGGAGAAATGGTTGGTCTCCTTCGGAGGATGGATGAATTTTTGGTCAACAAGCTGAGAAACGGAGGAGAGGCCACAGGGCTTGGCCCTTTGCATGGGATGAGGTTCCTTGGAGACACTGGTGGATCAGTCCCATTTGGGTGTTTCTAGCCCATGGACCAAGCCAGCTTATGGCTCCCTTGAACCCTTCATGATGGCAAATTCAAGGTGGCTTCCATGTGCAAGAGACCCAGACCATGGTGCTGGAGCGGCCCCTGACCCCTTCTCTTCCCCCAGGAGCCTGGCTCGGCTTTCCTGCAGTTGGGTGTCTCCATCGAGCAGCAAATCCAGGTGATCTTCAAGGTGTTGGAGGAATACGACTGGGGCTCCTTCGCCGTCATCACCAGCCTCTACCCAGGCTACCACATCTTCCTGGATGTCATCCGCTCCTTCACGGATGCCAGCTACTTCGGCTGGGAGCTCCAGGAGGTGCTCACCTTCGAGATGAGCCAAGAGCGGAGCAGCTCCAGGACACAGCGGCTCCTGCGGCAGATCGATGCCCAGGTCCTCATCGTCTACTGCTCACGAGAAGAGGCTGAGTACCTCTTCGCCATGGCAGAGCAAGCTGGCCTCGTGGGGCCAGGCTATGTCTGGATCGTGCCTAGCCTGACAGTGGGCAACATGGAGGTGCC